CCCACTCATCCTCTGCGAAATGTTATATGATGCATCTGTAGATGTCTGCAATGGCATGTACCCTATCGCCCCCATTATAAGCGATCATACTCTGCGACATGTAATATATTGCATATCCAGATCTATGACCAGGTATGTAGTCTATGCAAACATTATACGATGCATCTGAACAAAAAACATTGATGGTGTGATGCGAATGCACTCATACAACCAGCCACAACCAGCCACAAACAGCCACAAACAGCCACCGAAATTGACCCATACGAGTGGCAAGAGCCCTGCACGCACACACAATGAACACACTGCCTGGGGGACGCGTTCCATCGTCACATCGCAACAAGGGCGCTGCTTGTCATTTGCTGCCTTGGCAACAAGGTTTAAAAGAGAAAGTTGTTTCCCCCCCTTTGAGTTGTTTCTTCATCGTCTTTTTCCCATCGACATCTTCATTAGCAGAACAAACAAGGTATGTGACGGAAAGCGATTGTAATGAGAAACGAGTCTATTGGGAATTCCCCAAAAACAATACAGCCAACACTGACTAACTCGTAGCACATTTCTTGCAAATTATGCCCGCGTTTCGATTTGCGTCTATTTTGCGTTCTGCTGGTCATGCGCGATCGCAGATGAGCAACCCCAAGGTTTTCTTTGACATGACTGCGGACGGCAAGCCCCTTGGGCGCATTGTCATGGAGGTGTGTGTCTATAGAACGCGTACGCACGATGGGGGCAATCTTACTCATACCTCGTTTAGCTCCGCGCGGATGTCGTTCCCAAGACTGCCGAAAACTTTCGTGCTCTCTGCACTGGCGAAAAGGGCTTTGGATACGCTGGATCTACGTTCCACCGTGTGATTCCCAACTTTATGTGCCAAGGCGGCGACTTTACACGCGGCGATGGTACTGGGGGCAAGTCGATCTACGGCAACAAGTTTGAGGATGAAAACTTTCAGCTGAAGCACATTGGGGAGGGTATCCTGTCCATGGCGAATGCTGGCCCCAACACGAACGGATCTCAGTTTTTCATTTGCACTACCCAGACGACCTGGTTGGATGGCAAGCACGTTGTGTTTGGAAAGGTGACTGAGGGAATGGATATTGTTAAAAAGGTGGAGAGCTTTGGTTCTCAGTCTGGCAAGACCAAGGCCAAGATTGTTGTGCAAAACTCTGGTCAATTGTAAACGGGAGTGAGTAAATATATGCGGACTA